CACTACCACTACCACTACCACTACAGCTACTACTACTACTACTACTACTACTACTACTACGACTACTACGACTACTACGACTACTATTACTACTACTACTACTACTACTACTACTACTACTAGTAGTTGCAGCAGTAGTAGTAGTAGTAGTAGTAGCAGTAGCAGTAGCAGTAGTAGTAGTAGTAGTAGTAGTAGTAGTCTGAAATCTTGCCTAGCCTTTATGCCGGATCTGAACCGTCCCTCCGGACGGTCGCACAGTCACACAGAAGGCATAAGAACCCTCGGACCCAAAGGCCTGCAAGCGTTGGACTTTGGGGGTCTAAGCCTCGCCTACGTCCAAAGCTTCCTAAACTTTCGGAGCTTAGACGGGCAACAGCCACTTCCGCAAGCGCTGGCGCACTGCAGGAAGCGGCCGGGGAGGCTTGTGGCAGAAGGCGCGGGCGCGGAGAACAGTACCTCTGACAGGGGAGGAGCCGCCTTGTCATCTTCCGGACCGACCCCATGACTTCAGGGTATATAGGGGCTTAGGCTTTAGGGTTTAGGGTTTAGGACCCCCAAGCTCCAAATCCCACCAGCCCCGATAGAAGCGATCTCTGCTGGGCTGAAACCACGTCAGCCTGCTGCAGCGTGTGCGCTTCTACGCATCATGCATGACGGATGCATATATGTACATATGCCCAAGCAGCCCAAGCAGGTACGTTAAAATCCAAGACCAGATCAGAAAGACCGAGCCAGCTCATCAGCTGGAGGAATCCCGCAGCTACTCATCAACCAGTCAATCAGTCACTCACTGCTTCCTTCCTTCTTGCCTTCGTTTTCTTAGACATTCAACGACAAACCAGGCGTTAAACCGTAAACCCAAAAAATGCACCGGCAACTCTAGACCCTAGACCCCTGAGCCCCATCCAATTTCCGGGTCCTCGCGATGGTCCAAGCAAACGATTTATGGAACGCTGGCAAGAAAACCAAATTGGCTAAGCCGATTAACGATCGTCCACGTCCGGCCGTTTCCTTAGCCAACTATTGCTGCCATCCAAAATGGCTTGGAGGACCTGGAGCGTGCTGGTTAGCCAATTTCGGCGTCGGAAAGACCTGGGTCGAACGACACCGTGCAATCTGGTGATTGTTTCTGGGCTCGGGCTCTTGCTGTCCAGCAGCGCCTCAAGCCCGAACTACGACGGATGAAAACTGGGGGAAAAGCCTCCGAGTTTCGAGGGGGTGGAGTGACCCCGAAAATGAAAAAAAAACTTCGACACCCCGCCAAAGGAGTGAAAAGGGTCTGGATAACCCATAGACAACCTCTGGACTGGCTCAAAGATCTCAAAGATGCGACGACGACGACGACGACGCGCTCGCAAGGCCCACCACAAGGCCCACCGCAGGTTCATGTTCGAGGCTTGTGGGTTTGAGGCGGCCGCTTGGTGCTTCCAGGGTTTTGGGGCTTCGACCGGCGACGTCAAGGCTTTAGGAGGTGTTGCGATGCTTTGCCATGCGGCAGCTCCTGCCAGGCCGTGCCCCCCGGGCCGCCCCGAGCCAGCGCCAGACGGTTCCCCACGCCAACGTTTCCCAGCAGCCAGAAATTTCCGACCCGGAAACGACCCGCCGGAAATTGGCTAACAAGGACCCTCTGGGTCCTCCAAGCCAATTAGGCTAGAAGCCGAAAATGCCTTGCGAAGACGCTCCGCGTCCTCTAAGCCATTTGGGACACCTCCGTCAGGGTCTAAGGGCTTTAGGAGGGACCCCTAACGGCCCTTAATCCCATATTTCCTTAAATAACCATTGTATAGTCCTTATATACCCCTTATATAGCCGGGTAGTCTCCAGATTAACCCCAATAACCTACAAGGGTCCCTATTAAGGGTCCCTCCTAAAGCCCTTAGACAGGATCCGAGCCGGAAACATTAATTGGCTAAGGATAAAATGGCTAGCGGACGAACGTCCACCTCGTTAGCCATTGTTTAAGAGATGGGGGATGATATGTCCCTTGATTCCGCTGTATACAGTAATTCTCGCATGATATGCCAGCACCTGCCAAACATGCCCTGAACCTAAATCTTGAAGGCCCGCAGCATAAGACCCACTCAGAAACTTCTAAAGCCCGCCAAATAACCAATGTAAATCCCTATGTCTACATCGAAAGTTTCTCTAAATTTCGAAAGAAACCAAAAGATGTTTAAACAACCAAAAAACCCCAAAAGACGTTGTTTAAAACAACCAAAAATATGTTCATCCCGGTGAGCCGAGAGGCGTGGATATGGATCCTCGGTGTCGGGCCGCTGAGCCCAGGACCATCCCTGAGTTTCAGCACAATTCGCCCAGCTCCGGAAGCGCCCCCCAGGCCCTTCCACAATCCCTTAAGGAAGGAACATATGCCTAAATTATAGAAGGATCCCCGATGGTAGGATTAAGGAATTTTTGCCTAAATTATAGTAGGATCCCCGATGTTATCATTCAAGGAATATTGCGGAAGTAAAACCCACATGTACCTGTAGTCTCCATTGTAGTTCCTTTTGTTGGTCTAGCCAATTCTATTTTTCGGATCCTACAAGGTACCCCGGAAAGGAAGACTATATGTAGTGTCTCGGTCTGCACTGCATGGCCACTCCCAAAGCCAAGCCAAAAAACCGCAACCCCTTCGCCCTACGCCCTGAAGGCACGAAACCCTGAATCAGTAATTCACGCTCTTTCTGTCCCTTTCCTAGCCTGTGCTGCAGTGCCGAGCTACAAAACTGCTGACAGCGTGCAGCCACTGCGAAGGGGGCCCGCCTGTACCGCCAGGACGTCAGGGCTCCATTCTAAACCCAAAATATGATATACGAGTACTAGACTGAAGCATGCTATCCCGCATGTTGCAATTGTACGACTGTTGAAACTCAGCCAAACCTTGTTTTCGCTCCTGACGTCCGCGTACGTTCTCCTTCCTTGCCGGCCCTTCTTGTTCGAAATGATTTGCTCTGGTTCTCCCTAACCCTCCAGGTACCTACTATATAGGGCCCTAGGGGCTTTAGTGCCCTATATAGTAGGTACCTGGGTTAGGGTCTGTCACACTCGGTCTGCAATTACCTCTTACATTTGTTGCTGACGGTTCCCTCTAGTCACCATCTTGTATAAGATAAAGCACCATATGAATTAAATGCAAGCAGGCGCTTCATTCCTGTTCGCCTGTCTTGCCTTATCGGGTCTTCTTGGCACTTTCAATCACCGCCCTGTTTCAACTTGAAGTTGTCGTCGGCTTCGGATACTCGCCTCCGAGAACACCTTCTTCGCGTTCGACGGGGGCTGGTCACAACAAATGCACCAAGCCCCAACATCCCCTAACCCCCTAGGTACTTACTATATAGGGTACCAAAGCCCCTAGGGTCCTATACAGTAGGTACCTGGGGGGTTAGGGCCACATCCCCAAATACTCACGCTGAAATCTCCTTTCGCTTTCACGTGATGTGCTCCTTCGCACTGCTTGTGGAAACTCCACTTGTGGCAAGTGCCTCTCCATCACTCCTTTTCTCGATCACCCGCTATTGCTTATATATATATATATATAGGCTACCTAATTCCTGTGTGACACATCCTACCGTACGCATCCGAGACCATGGGACAAGCCGCTACCCTTTGTGTCTAGGGTCGGGTTGAACTTTGAGGAGCTCCTGATGAAACCCTGTAGAGGGTGAAGCGCGACAGCTTAAACACCCAAAACATCAATCTGAAAGCCCTACGAGTATATGTTGAGGCTCTTCAGAAGTGAAACCACAAGCTCTCAGCAATCGCCTGGCAAAGGCTCGCATCCAGCTTATGTCCCCGGCGGCGAAAGGCCTCTCGGAACGAAGATAAAACAATGCCGGGTGAGAGGTCTCAGACTTGCTTAAAGCTGAATTGTTGTTTGCCTCTAGAATGTTTTGGAAGGCATCGTTTTGACCACCTGGGTTGTCGGTCTCAGGATTCAAAGAAGGAGCCCTAAACCCTAAACCCTATAAGCCCTAAACCCTAAACCCTATAAACCCTAAACCCTAAACCCGGGAGTCTTGTATTGGAGGCGAATTCGGACACTTCGCCCCTTGGGCGGGCTCGGGCCTCAGGGTTCCAGCGTTTCTTCGCTCTCTGCAGCTACTACGATGAAGTACTCTACGGCTTTTCCAGGGCTTATAGGGTCTAGGGTTGAGGGTTTATAGTGCAATGCTATGCTATTTGGTAGTATAAGAAATGTAATACCTTAAGCTTAATATCTATGTATATATGAACACAGCAGCAGTTCACCCATGAGCGCCTCCTGGAGCGAAGGCATGCCAGCGGCCTCGCAGCCGCTGGTTACTCTAGGACTCTGGGGGTTCAGGGGTTTTAGGGCTTAGGATTCAGAGTTCAGGGTTTCGACTCTCACACTCGGACAAATGCAGGCGAGGCTTGTGGTCAAGACCTTATAGGTTTTAGGGACTCTGGGGGTTGCCATAGAGGTTTGGATGGGATAGAGTACTAGCAGGGGTTACGATGCAAAAGTCTTCTGGGAGGAGGGTCGGGGCTCAGGGCTTAGGGGGTCTAGGGCTTCGGTACTTTGAGGCTTCGGGCTGTGCAGCTTTTTGGTTGAGGGCTTGGGCTTTACGGTTTGGGTTTAGGGTTTAGGGTTTAGGGTTTAGGGTTTGGGGTTTAGGGTTTAGGGTTTGGGGTTTAGGGTTGAGGGTTTAGGGTTTAGGGTTTAGGGTGGGCACTTGCCGTAGGGTTGTGTAGCATGTGGTCAGGCGAGAATTTCTGGTGGGATCCGGATATCCCCCCGGTGTGAGGGCCCACCTGGATCCACGGCCCGAAGGTGGCCACATCACCTCTGGTGTCAGAATACGAAGCTCCTCCAAACTAGGTCCCAATCATCATAAAACCGTTGTGCACCTGTTCAAGACACTTGCTTGGGAGGTCTATCCGGATTTCGAACACAAAGACCAAGCGCGTGACGACGTTTTCATGGCATGCCCACACCTATCACAGACCAAGACTGTCAAACTGCTGCCTTGACTGCTAATCCTTCTGCCTCGCTCGACTTCCACCTCTCGCACTGAGAATCATGCGGCTTCTGACCGCAGTTTGACGGGGTATGTAAATCCACGAGGCTGTCTCTTCAGCGGTTTCCACTGCTATATACGGCTAGCCCGAGACGAGGACAAACGAGGCTCTGCAAGAACCGAAATTTTGGTTGGGCTCGCGCAACTGAAAATGCAAATTCTTGGTCCGAGTCTCTGTCCATGCCCACGTCCGTGGCCATACAGTGCCTGAGTGTGACAGAGTTCCATGAAGTGTACTCCGTTGCTTGTTTCCAGTGGTGGCTGCCAAATCAACACTGCCAAGAGGGGTGTACCTCCCCCTCCCCCTCTTCCTCCCCACATACGCTCACTCTCTTGCCCTTGCACTCTCTCTCCCTCTGCCTCCCTGCAGCTCTCCCTCTCCCTCTCTCTCGCTCTCGTGCCGGCTCTCTCTCTCTCTCTCTCCCTCCCTCCCTCCCTCTCTCTGTCTCTCTTTCTTTCGCCAGGGTTGTGNNGCAGGGGTTACCCCCCCCCCCCACCGCGCGCGGGTGCCAATGAGCAAAACAAGCAAACTCCAAAGCCAGGCAGTGGTCGCACAAAAAGGACGAGCATAATACTGTCTCTCTCTCTCTCTCTCTGTTCTGTTCTGCCCTCCGGCGCGGACTAGGTCCGCCGAGGCCTCTCTCTCTCTCTCTCTNNNNCCCTCCCTTTCCCTCCCTCCCTCTCCGCCTTCCCTCTCCCCCTCCTCCCTCCCTACCTATAATGGATCACGCTTTGCTTTTTGCACGGACAGATGCCAAAATCCATGATGTGTGTGACAGCACACGAAAACCAACAAGACCTGCGGAACTGCTCTTTGATTATGTAGTATACCATGTACATGTGAAGAGAGAGGGAGAAAGACAGAGAAAGAGAGAGGCAGATAAGGATCATGTGCGCGTCTGTGTGCGTGTGATCACTAACGTGTTATACGTGCTTACCCATAGGCCCCATAGTA